CAAGTGCCTTTTTTATATTTGGTAACACTTCTTCTTGTCCACATTGTCTAATATTCTCAGGACCATTTATCCCTTATAGGAACGGCAGAATTTACTTGTCAAAATCATTTGTGCCTGATGCCACTTTTGCGGCTAGACTTTAAAAACACTATAATTTTGTTTTGGTTGTTTTGAGACAGGGTCTCATGTACCCCAGGCTGGATTCTATGTGGCCTAGGCTGGTCTAGAACCCTCCCCTCCTGCTACCACCTCTTAAATGCTGGGATTACTGACATGTGCCACTATGGCCAGCCATCATAGTACCATTCTTGATTTGATTTCTGCATATATTTAAAATTTTCTTTTCCCTTAACTAATGCTAATAATTTGCATTTTTCATTCTTTTAAATTTTTTGTGAGTGGGTGTTTTGCTGGTAGGTGTGTCTGTGCACACCATGCATGCAATGCCTGCAGAGGCCAGAAGGGGGCATCAGAGCCCCCCAGGAACTGGAATTACAGATGGTTGTTAGGCATTGTGTGGGTAACAGGAATAGAACCTGGTTCCTCTGCAAGAGCAACAAGCAGTCTTAGCACTGAGCCACCTCTCCAGCTCCTGAGAATCTGCATTTTAAAGATCATGGTCAGTATTATTCACAGCTTCACTGTGATTGAAATATTCTCTGTACAAAAGGTAGATCTTCAATGTTTTCTCTCATTCATTTTGTTAATGTTTTATTATTTTTTTCAAATAGACAGATTTTGGTTAAACTGGTCCCTGTTCTCAATATTTCTTTGTGTGTTTTCATTAGTTTCTGCTCAGTTTCCAAATCCCCTGGGCTGTGTGTGATCAAGGAGATGTTCAGTGTCTTGCTTGATGAATTGAGTCCTGTCAACTTCATTTTGGAGAAACTGTGAAGTTTAGGGTTATGTTGGTTTGCGGGGGTTGTTTTTAAATGATCAAACTAAGAAGTAATAAGAAATGTTTTGGATATTTTGGATAGATATTTTTAGATTTTTAAGAAACCCTGTGATTAGGAGTTGGGCTTAAGCATTAACTGTAGGCAAATCTGTAGGTTTAAAAGTTATAGTCTTTTAAAAAAAATTTTATATATTTTGAGAGTGACCTGCTAATATAAGCAGTTGCACACTTTCTCAATAGCCTTTTGCTTTTTAATATTTGTGTGTTTGTGCACATGTGGTATGTGTATGATGTATGTGTGCACATGTGTGGTGTGTGTATGGTGTGTACATGTGTGGTGTGTGTGTGTGTGTGTGTGTGTGTGTGTGTGTGTGTGTGTGTGTGTGTGTGCATGTGCGTGTGTGCATGCATGTACCACATGTATGTAGAGGCCAGAGGTCAGACCAAGGGAATCAGTTCTCAACTCCTACCACGTGGCGTCTATGGATCAAGATGAAGTCATTAGTCTTGGCCACAAAGGCCTTTACTCAACTGAGCTATCCCACAGGCTCTCACCACCCATTCGACATGTTCCTTTTATCATTATATAATGACAACTCGGTCACTGATATCCCTCCCTCCCTCCCTCCCTCCTTCTCGTTCCACTTCACTAGCTTGTCTGATGTCAGTACAATTGCAACAGCTTTATTGATTGATTAATTGATTAAGCTTTATCTACCCATTCTTACTCTCTTTCCATTTTACATATGGGGGTACAGATCTTGACAAGTTTATTCAACCTATTTACACACAGTACAGTGAGATCCATGTTTTAGTTTGATCTTTTTCCTTTTCTGTTTTATCTTTACCCTCTTTCTTTTTCAATCCTTTCCCTTAATTCTGCCCTGTGCTGGGTTGAAATAAGATTTCCATGCATAGTCTCTTATTTGGAAGCATACATTCTGTTTTTCTGTTCTTTAGATGTTTATTCTGAAAACGGTCAGGTGCCTCATATTTTACTTATCCAAAGCACGCCGCCTATTATTTTTAGTGCAGGACAAACTCTTGAACTGTTTCAAGCCTATTTCTCTGTCTTGTCTGAGAACACCCAAACATAGTCACTCCTGTTACAACTGTTACTTTAAGTAGATTGACTTGGTGCAACTGTTTTGCTTGCTGCTGCCTCTGACATCCTACCCTTGCATTCCGTGTCCTTCTCGCTGAGCTCTTCTGCGCAGGTCAGTCTTGCCTGGGTAGCCTTTGGTAGACTGCAGGAGTAGTAAGTCCTCCAGTCACTGTATCAGCAGGGGTGTCGAGTTCTTAGCTCTGCAAAGTCATTTCAGCACGGAGTCGAGGGGGACGGTGACTGCCCCTCTCTCCCCAGTTTCCACTCCACTGTTACTGATGAGAAATCTACTGACAGTTCAGGTGTCCTTATTTATAAACTCCTTTGTCTCAGGCTGTTTTAAGACATCCTCTTTGACATTCTGCAGGTTCTCTATAAGTCACCCTGGGATATTTCTGTTCCTTCTCCAGGGACGGGTGGGTTTTTGTCAAGATTTCTATCTTTCTTCCACCTGGGAACCCACCATCACACTCCGGTCACTGCTTCTTCCCGGAAAATGGATCTCACCGCAGTTTCCCTTAGATCTCTTTTCTTCTTTTCTTTTTCTCCTCTGGCTTTTCTTCCGTCTCTGTTTTGGGAAGTGCTAACTTTTTTCTCTCGCCTTCTAAGGTCCAGAGGTGCTCCCCAGCAGTGCCTATGTTCACTGTCTGGCTTGTGATTTTTGCCTTGGGGAGCATTTTACCCTCTCTTCCCGTTGCATGGCCATCTCATCCACCTGGGCTGTAGAAACTTCCCTATGGGACACTGTAGCTCGGGCTCCAGCCTGGGCTCAAGCAGACTTCCCTGGTTTGGGAGTAGCTTTGAGGTCAATGTCGTGACTGGGAATTCCAGCCTTATGATGATATTCAGAATCTGGATAGGGGCCAAGGCATCTCTAATGCATGTAACACATGTGAAAGGCTGCGTGGGGTCCAATCTTTCTTTTCTTTTGTGTGTGTGTGTGTGTGTGTGTGTGTGTGTGTGTGAAATCTTTCAATTCATGACACATGGCAGACAATTCTTTCCTGCTTCCTTAGGGCTGGGAGAGTTCTGCTGTCTTCTGCACAAGAAGCTGTCCAGGGGAGCCAACTCTTAGGAGATCCTAATTGCAGACATCCAATTCTCTCTTCTCTGCCTCTAGCACCTGCTTTTATACTCATTTTCATCCTCATTTTTATATCCAGTTATATATATGTATATGTATAACATATACACACACATATATATACATATACATATATATGAGTGTGTATATATATATATTCATTCATGAATATATATATATATATATATATATATATATATATATATATATATATATATATATTCATTCATCCTCTCTCTCTCCCTTCCTACTATGGATTCTGAGTAGTCTTTGGGGTCACATGACCCAAACTTAGTAGCCAAAGCTCTAGCTATCCTCACTCCCACATATCATTTTGTTAATTTTAGAGAGGGTCTCACTATAGCCTGGGCTAGCCTGGAACTCACTATATAGCCCAGGCTGGCCTTAGAGTTGCTGTCATTCTCTTGTGTCCCACGTGCTTGGATTACAGGTGGGAGCCACTACACCCAGCTAATATCCCTTGGACTGATTTTTCTGAATCACCTTTAAGCTTGAATTTTTTTTACAGTAACTTGGAGGTGCTTATATCTTGTTTTGGATTTCTATGTGTTTTCTCAGGGTTGGGAGAGCTGTGGTAGAACTATGTTCCCAGATCATGAAGCATCCAGTCCCAAGTGCCAAGTCCCAAAGCTGGTATGAGGAGCATACTGGAGGCCTAACACCGAGAACAAAGGGGGTCCTACAAATAAGGGATACTACACTAGCTTGCTTTTAAAAACAGACTCACACGCACATAGTTCTTTATACCTGGTAACCTATTCTTCCTTCACAGGACATTATATTTGTCCTCTGCTCTTGGAATCCCATGGAATTTACACACAAGGCTGTGCCAAAAGAGCACACAATGGACATGGATCAAAGCCACGCAGAAAAGCTCAAATATCAGTCTCCTGAGACAGCTCAGCTGGGTAAAGATGCTTTCTGCCAAGCCTGGTGGCATGGGTTCAATCCCCAGGACCCAAATGATAGAATGGAACTGATTACCACAGATTGTCCCCTGACCACCACATGTACACATGTACATACACACACACACACACACACACACACACACACACACACACACACACACACACTATTTTAAAAGTTCAAACAGTAAAAAACTGACAAGGAGTGACAAATGTCATGTTGTGGCAGCTCAATAGAGGGACACGTTATGCACTCCTTTAAGGTGGGTTCAGCAAGTCACTTTTCCTTTAGATTTCTTTACAGAGCTGCAAAGTGTAACATAGAAAAACTCGGCCTTTCAGGACGGCTTTCTAATCCACCTCCAACCCTGGTCAAGCTTTCTGATGAATAAAAACAACCTCCTTCTCCTCCTCCTTCTCCTCCTCCTCCTCCTCCTCCTCCTCCTCCTCCTCCTCCTCCTCCTCTTCCTCTTCTCCCCCTCCTACTCCCCCTTCTCCTCTTCTTCTTTCCTTTCCTCCTCCTTCTCTTCCAATTTCTCATTTAGGCATAGACTCACTATGTAGCTCTGGCTATATAGACCAGGCTGGTCTTGAACTCACAGAGATTCGTGTGCATCTGCATACCAAAGCGCTGGGGTTAAAAGTCATTGTCACCTCGTCTGGCTAAAAGGCTTTCTACAAAAGCTATTTGGGTTTTTATTTGGGGGAAGGTCTCCTTTTGTAGGCCAGGCTGTCCTGGAATTCACTCTGTACCCTATACTAGACTCTAACCTCAGTGATCTTCCTGCCTCAGCTTTCTGAGAACTGAAATTTGAGGTGTGAGCTTGGCTTCTCTGGGAATTCTTGGTGCCTAAATTAAGAATCTGGGGATGTGATTAGCTTAGGAAAAAACAAACAAACAAACAAATAAACAAAAAACAGCTACCAAGTGTCAACACAGATTCCACGTGCAGAGCCCTGTTGGCCCAAACATTCGGGAATTACCGTGTAATTTCGAGTGAAGGAGACGTCAGTACCATCTTGCAGATAATGGGTCTCCATGAAGCCATCGGCAATGAGTCCCCTGTGGAAACAGAAGTGACATAAAAAAATGAGTGTGGCACCGCATGGATCCACTGCTATGAGCATCTCAGGGGTGAGAATGAAACAACCCAGTGAGGTTCCCAGTGGGCTTCGCCTATTCAGGTTTCCAGGCGGGTGTTGTGGGGGATCCAAGTAGAGGACAGTCTGCAACACATGTTTTGAAGAGTTGCCCATGTGGTACCTGTGGGGTCCCTTCTCTCCTCTGACCCCATTCCTCTCAGGTGCACAGCTTAGCATTCACAATGTACCTGGACGGACACCTCCACCCCACCCCACTATACACCCACACATACCATACCCTTCCCACACCATTACCTACCCACCCCCCTACATCCCATACTTTAAAATACTGTTGTATGGACCGATGTCCAAGTTGGGAAAACCCACCCCCAGATATCACATTTCTCCACAAACTAGAAGCAGTAGCAAACTCACTTCGGGGAAACCAGTTTTGGATCCATAGTTGTTTTCCTTACAAGTGAGAGAACCTAGCTATCAATATAGAAATGTCTCAGGAGAGGTTAAAACAATGATGAAATGTTAAAAGTGATGCAGGTGTGAACAAAAAATGATTTGGACATACTGAAATCCCAAGTTTCCAAGATAAGCTAAATTCAGGAGAGCCCCTTGTGTCTCAACTAAAACTACAAAAGTCGTCAGGTCTTCACTGAGGCCAGAGCACTGTCTAGGTAGGTTTCAAACAATTTTGCAGCCCGAGATTATGTGCTCTATCTCATCCTGCTCCATGCAATGCAGGAAAGGTTTCCTATGTACCTATTATGTGCTGTTTTTAGCTGCTGGATCACAAAGATAATTAGACCAGTCTCTGCGTGTGAGGATGCTATAGTCTGGTAGGGTGACAGAGGGGACTGTCTCAGAGTAGGAGAGCTGTATCCGGTGAACCAATGCACAGGAGGTAGAGCATCAAGCAGGCCTTGCAGAAGTGGCTGGACACCACTGTGTGGTAACAGAGAGAGGAGAAGGCAGAAGCGCATCAGAGTGGGTCGGGGCAGAGGCACTCTCAGGTGGAGGATGGTCACGACAGGCTACCTGAAGATCTGGAATCAGGAAGCCAGGTTGTACAGGGCAAGAAAGGGCCCTAAACAGAGTCCGATTTCATCTGTTGGGGCAGTGGAGTCCAGAATGGTTCCAAATTCTGAGTCACGGGAGGTGCAGTGGAGGGGATGGCCTTGTTGCTCTTTATACCACCAGTTCTCCTGGGTGGGGGTGGGGGGGCAAGAGACGACCGCGTGACCCAAGCCCAGCCAATCACAGTTCTCCTTTGCAGGAAGTGGGGCGCTGAGACTTCTAGACTCAGGGTGTAGCTGCAGAGCTGCCTCCAGCCTGGCCTCCACTTGGAGGGGATGCTGGAAGCAGACGAACCTGTTATCCTGCAGTGATGAAGGGAAGAGGAGGGATGTCCAAGTGCTTGGGTGCTGTAGCATCTCTTCTCTCCAATAAGTCCCTCTTTGGCTTCAGCTGCTTCCATCTGAGTTTGCAGCCAGCATCCTGATAAGTACCTCAATTGGGGAGGTGGGGATGCTGGGGATGTAATAGGGGAGAGGAGGAATTTTTCAAACTCAGACTGCCTTAATGTTCTTCTAGCCAAGTCCAGAATGGAGGGCAATATCCCTGCTTTACATGGCTATCAATACTTTCAGGAAACACGCCTGCCTATTTTAAGTCAGCTAGGCCACTGCAGTGGGTCTGAGCTATGATGTACTTACTCATGAGTGTTTCAGACGGGCGCACCAAAATCTAAACCACAGCCAGCTGACAACCACACATGGCGTCTCCTGAGCTCCTAGAGATTAGTTTACCTCCAGAGTATTAAAAAACACATTTGAGAGGACTTCTCTGGTGACAGTGGGGTCTCAATAGCCCAGCCCAAAGCTCTCATCTCTTTTCAGCTGCCCAGGCCTCCTGGGCAGGCCCATTCCCAGGGGCATTGTAGACTTGCTGGCATCTCCAGAGCAGAGCAAATGGGAGCAGGCCGGCCAGGTGGGATGGGGCACCAGGAAACCTTCACGAGAGGCATTTGGAAGTTTTAATTGCCTTTGAAATGTCTTTCAGATCACAGAGAGAATACAGCCACATTCACACCTGGGGCTCCAGAGAGTTCTGAAGTGTCACTGCCTGCTTCTTCCAGTCACGTGGCTCTGAGCAGGCCCTGGGTTGGGCGGCCTAGGCAACTGTGGCATTCCTGACTCCACTCCTCTGGTTCATACTTCCTCTGGCCGACACTTGTCCCTGGATGGTTCTAGAACACTCCACCAAGGCCTGTTGCACTTGCCATGTCCTGAGTCTGGAATGTTCTTTGTCCCGTGGCTGACTTCTTCTCACCCTTCTTGGTGTAAATGCTGTCTTCCCAGGGGCCTCCTCTGATGTGGAATCTGAAGCAGCCCCTTCACCGTTCCCCACTGCAGAGCCCTTTGGTTTCCTGTATAGCATTCCTCTTTGGTTTATTTCATGTGTTTACACTTTGCCTCTCTTTGCTCTCCAGAATGTAAGCCATAGGGGATGCTCATTCACCATTGTGTTCCCAATGGTGCAGACCGCCCACAGAGCACATAGCCTTCTCCTTCCCAAGCTAGTAAAATTTTGCTGAGCACTTCCTTTTTAAAAAAATTTTTTGAGATTATAATTTAATTATAACATTTTCCTTTTGTTCCCCCAAACCCTCCTATAAACTCACCTCACTCTCCTTCAAATTCATGGTCTCTGTTTTTCACTAGTTATTTATTGCATTTGTATATGTATATGCATACATATTCCTAAATATAACCTGTTCATTCCATATAATGTTATTTGTATGTACCAGGGCTGCTTGTTTGGCATTGGACAACCGTTTGGTATGCTCTTCCTAGGGGAGGACCACCTCTCCTGCTCCTAGCTTTCCTCAGTCACCTACAGTTATGTGTATAGGGTTGAGGCCACATTTCTCTTTTCTCTCCCCCTCCCCCACTTTGGCGTGCTCATTGGTGTCATCCTTGTTCCGCTCATGTTGAGCAGTCATGCTGGTGAGACTTCATGGGTGTAGCTTCGGACGTTACTAGGAGACACAATCTCATGGCAAACTCCCTGCTCCTTTCTGGATCTTACAGTCTGTCCTCCCCCTCTTCCGCAGTTACATGAGGAGCCTGAGGTCTGGGAGTGTCCTGTAGACATGTCCATTGAACTGGGCCCCACAACTCTGCATTTTGATGAGTTGTGCATTTCTGTAGTGCTCTCCATCTGTTGAACACTTCCTTTGAGTCAGGCATCTGCTTTGCCCGTGGCATCTCACTCAAACCTTTGGTAGTAGCTAGCTGGAGGGGTGTCTGCTATTCTTTTTGTTCATTTATTTGTTTTCTGTCTCTTGAGAGAGATCCAGCCTGGCTTTGAACTCCAGATCCTGGTTCAGCTTCTGAGAGAACAGGCATGTGTCACCCAACTCAGTTCTAGACATTGTTTTTAATTTTGATTTAAAAACAAAATAAAACCAAAAAAAAAAAACCTCCCAAAACCCAGAGATACAGGAGAGTTCAGGTAACATATGAACGAGAATTGTTGAGACCAAGATTGGAAAAAGCACAGGGACAAATATCCAAACTAATGGAAACACATGAACTATGAACCAATAGCTGAGGAGCTCCCAACTGGATCAGGCACTCTGGATAAGTAAGACAGTTGATTAACCTGAACTGTTTGGGAAGCACCCAGGCAATGGGACCAGGACCTGTCCTTAGTGCATGAGCTGCCTGTTTGGAACCTGGGGCCTATGCAGGGACACTTTGCTCAGCCTGGGAGGAGGGGACTGGACCTGCCTGGACTGAATCTACCAGGTTGAGCTGAATCCCCAAGGGAGTCCTTGCCCTGGAGGAGATGGGAAAGGGGGGGGGGGTTGCTGGAGGGAGGGCAAGGGTGGGTGGGAGGAGGGAGGACAGGGGAATCCGTGGCTGATATGTAAAATTAAATCAAATTATAAAATCAAAAATAAATAAATAAATAAAAAGGTAAAAAAAGACTATTTTTATTTTATGTGTATGAATGGTTTTCTTGCATGTATGTCTGTATGTCACATGCATGCCTGCAGATGTCAGAAGATGCCATCAAATTCCCTGGAAGTGGAGTGATGGATGGTTGTAAGGCAACATGTGGGTGCTAGGAACTGAACCCTGGTCTTCTGGAAAACAACAAATGCTTTTAACTCCTGAGCTCCACAGTTAGTGCTCTTGTGCCTGTGGTGCCACCAGACTTTCAAAGCTGGTCCAGTGATATCTGCTGAGCACATGTGGCAGGGACCATATGAAACAGTGAAGAAATGTGTCCTGAGTGGAATAAGGGATAAATAAATGCACAGATGCAAGGGTCAATCTGAGAACAGCACAGCAGCTTCATCCCTTCACGTGCAGGACCCTCTCCCTCCTGGGTGACTCACATCCCCACCTCCCTCCCTAGCACATTTGATGAAACCAAGCAGGTGCTAGATCGAAGTGTTCCATGATGTATATCTAATTTAAAAGTGGCTGGAAGTCAAAGGCCCCTGGAGAAAATCAAGAGGGGCAGATGGACAATGGGGGTATTGGAAATATGACAGCAATGATCTTGTACTTTTATCCAAAGAGAAAATCAAATTAGATGCTTTCCATCAGCAATGGGAGCAGAAGGTGGATGCATAATTTCATGAGAACATTCCTTTCCTCTGCTTATTAGATTAGCTGACCTAACAAGGCATTCTCTTCCCCTTGACACCAGACAATGAAATGCATCTTAACTGTGCCAGGAGCTGATGTTGCTGGTTCCCATTTGCTTTGCTGTTATTAGTGATACCTACATAATGCTCTCATGTAGCTGCTAATTATTGTGCTGGATCCTGGAGGTAAGGCAGAGCATGGGCTTCCCCATCTGGGGAGAATAGATTTGGAGTGGCCACAGCTGTATGAAGCATATCTAGAGCTCTGCCTGGGGTCAGGGAACTGCTTCCAAGCCTGCAGCTAG